TAAGAACACAGGTTTGTAATAAACTACTAAAAAAGCCTTTGAAAATGGGAAAGAATAACTTCAGGAAAGTGGTTTCCTCTAAAGAGAAAGCATACAATGCCACCAGGGAGGGATATACAGGGCTTTTCAATTTTTAGTCTAAAGTTTTATTTTTTAAGCTAAGTGATATGGATACATTGTTCCTTATATTGTTATTTATACCATTTTTCTGAAATATTTCAAGGTAGTTTCAATGGATTAAATGTGACATTATTTATTTGTAGATTTGGTGCATCTTTTTGCATATTATATATATGTATATATATATATATATATACACATACATATACATACACACAAACAATTACAGTTGTTTTATATGAACTTTGCTAGGTATTTGGGAAACTTAAGAAAAAAGACAATACTCAGGTGCTCATAAATGTGTAAAAAGCTAAACAAGAAAGCAGCCAATTCCAGTGTAATAGAAAATGTCATAAAGTAGTATTGTGGAAATCAAGATGGAGTCACTCATGTCAAGCAGTGACGTCAGCAGCCAAGGGCATTGCAGCTGAGACCAGATATCATCGAAACCAGCGCAGGTGGACGGCACCCGGAACTGATGACCAGCAAAACCAAAAGAGCCTGCAGGAACAAAGAGCTGATAATCGCTGGGGCCAGAAGAAGCCTGCAAAGGTCCCGGACTGATTAAATTCCTCTACAAAAGGGGGGCTTTTGCAGCAAACTGTCAGTCTCTCCAGATACTGACCCCTCTCACTCCTGCCTGTATGAGAAAGGCAGCTGCGGCCGAAGGCTCTGTGTGGCTGATCTGTGAACATAACAGAGATTCCCCACTGCCTGGACATAATAAGCATCACGAGCCCAGAGCTGACCCAGTCTGGACAGAGGCCTCCCCTAAAGTGCACGCTATGGGCTTTGCACTTGGCTCATTAACTTCTTACCTCTTCTTGTATCTTGTTTGTTGTGTGACGTTCTCTTGTGCTTCACTTTGTGGGACATGAACGAGTCAAGTGAAATGTGTAGTGAAATGTCACTGTTGAAATCCAGAAGCTGCCTTACAATTATGCTAACCTTGCTTTATGATTGAATAAAACTGACTGTGGAACATGGTAACTCACGTGTGCTCCTTTATAGCATGTTTATGACAAGTACATAAATTAATAACCAACCAATGTTATCTACTTTCCATAACACTGTAGTTCCTAAATTGAGATACATGAAATACAGTTCAGGTAGTTGTTAACAAATCTTCAAGAATGGGGGAAACTTTCCACTGCCAAATACATTTAGAGTTACCTGGATTTAATCAAACCAATTTGGATTATTACTTCAGGAAATTTGAGAATGTTAATAATGAATCTGCTTTTTCAATCTTTAAAAGAGGGATATAATATACAGTACTTTCCAAACTTAATTAAAAATAAAATTAAATAAAATTCATTTCAAGGACAGAATGTTCTGTGAAGCAAACTTTTGGAAATCATTGTTTCTAGAAGAGGAATGGTTACTTTTTTTCCTTCTAAGATTTGACTTTAAGTCAAATTAGTTAACATACAGTGTAGCATTGGTTTCACGAGTAGAATTTAGTGATTCATCACTCACATATAACACCCAGTACTCATCACAAGTGTCCTCCTTAATGTCCAGTGCCCATTTAGCCCATCCCCACACCCACCTCTTCCCTTCCCCAGCAATTCTCAGTTTATTCTTTATAGTTAAGAGTCTCTTATGGGTTACTTCCCTCTTTTTATCTTATTTTATTTTTCCTTCCCTTCCTCTATGTTTATCTGTTTTGTTTCCTAAATTCTACATATGAGTGAAATCATATGGTATTAGTTTTTCTCTCACTGACTTATTTTGCTTAGCATAATACACTTTAGCTCCATCCACATCATTACAAATGGCACAATTTTATTCTTTTTGATGGCTGAGTAATATTCCATTATATATATACACATATTTGCACACACCACATCTTCTTGATCAGTCCATCAGTCAATGGATATTTGGGTTCTTTCCATAATTTGTCCATTGTTGATAGTGCTGCTATAAACACATGTGCCCCTTCAAATTTTTGTATCCTTTGGATAAATACCTAGTAGTGCAATTGCTGGACCCTACGATAATTCTATCTTTAACTTTCTGAGGAAATTCCACACGGTTTTCCAGAGTGGCTGCACTAGTTTGCATTCCCACCAACAGTATAAGGGCGTTCCCCTTTCTCTGCATCTTTGCCAACATTTGTTACTTCCTGAATTTTTAATTTTAGCCATTCTGACAGGTATGAGGTGGTATCTCATTGTGGTTTTGATTTGTATTTCCCTGATGATGAGTGATGTTGACCATCTTTTCATGCATCTGTTAATCATCTGTATTTCTTCTTTGGAGAAGTGTCTGTTCAGGTCTTCTGCCCATTTCTTAACTGGATTATTTATTTTGGGGGTGTTGAGTTTGATCAGTTCTTTATAGATTTGGGATACCATTTACTTAGAATGGTCACTTTTTGAAAGTATGCTCTTGCAATCTTAATAGAGGATTAGGATTTGAACTGGATTTTGAGAAAGTATTAAGATGGTGCCCAGATGAAATAAAGTGGGAGTTATTAGGGTTAAATTTAATAAAATCTATGGTCAATTGACAGATTAATTAATAAAGATTTCATAAATGAGAGAAGCAAAAGAATTATGCAACTTAAGTGTTGTCCATGTTTTTAACGAGATTTACATTGAAAATGTAGACTTTTAATAGCAGAAATAAACTTTTATTTTTCAACAAATAAGTATGTGTATGTTTGTGAGAGAAAATCTTCATGAGAAAGTTAGTGATATAAGAAAGTGACATATTTTTGTCAAAGTAGAGTGAAATGACTAATTTGATTTCTTATAAATATTCATTATAATCCATTAATGGAATCTGTTGTCTATTCTTTCCTCCTTAAAAATTTTTTAAATGTTTATATATTTTTGAGGGAGAGAGGGAGACAGAGCACGAGTGGGGGAGGGGCAAGAGACACAGAATCAGAAGCAGGCTCTGGGCTCTGATCTGTCAGCACAGAGCCCAACACCAGGCTCGAACTCACAAACAGTGAGATCATGACCTGACCCAAGTCCCATACTTAACAGACTGAACCACCCAGAAGCCTCTGTTCTTTTCTCTTAACTGAACATCTAATTTGTTCATCTTCTCTTCCTGTGATAAGGAGTCTAAATGTGGAAAATGACTTCAGAGGAGAGTGCCAGTGTTCAGAAGTCATTCGAGCTGCTTTTCATGTTCTCTGGGAGGAGGCTCATATAGCTCAATATGAGCCCATATCTAGGCTGCAAATAGTACCAAAAACATCAGCTTTTTGGTTGCTCATATTTTATGCCTAACACTCATGATTTATCTTGAAAGATGCTTGGTCTATATTCCTTAAGTGCTGGTCAGCTGTATAAGAAATATCAAAATAGAAAAAAATACTCTATGTCATGCACTGTCTTAATTGTACCTGATTACACATGTTCCCACAATATGAGCCTTAGTTTCTTTTTTCTTTTCTTTTCTTTTTTCTTCTTTCCTTTCTTTTCTTTCCTTTCCTCCCTCCCTCCCTCCCTCCCTCCCTTTCTTTCTTTCTTTCTTTCTTTCTTTCTTTCTTTCTTTCTTTCTTTCTTTCTTTCTTTCTTTTCTTTCTTTCTTTCTTTCTTTCTTTCTTTCTTTCTTTCTTTCTCTCTCTCTCTCTCTCTCTCTCTCTCTNTTTCTTTCTTTCTTTCTTTCTTTCTTTCTCTCTCTCTCTCTCTCTCTCTCTCTCTCTCTCTCTCTCTTTCTTTCTTTCTTTCTTTCTTTCTTTCTTAATTAGACTTCATGCCCTTCAGGAAGCCCAATGTGGGGCCTGAATTCATGTCCCTGAGATGAAGACCTGAGCTGAGATGAAGAGTCGGATGCTTAACCAACTGAACCATGCAGGCTCCTGTTTTCTTTACTTTTTAAATAAGTTAAATCAAGACCTGTTTTTCAAATATTCTACATATATTATTCTTTTTCTATTATTATGCAGTCATTAAGTATTGGATTCACTGAGAGTTACTTTGTTAATAATAAATGTGAATATAGGAGCAGTAATAAATATAAATGTAAATATGGGTGGCTCTGTCGGTTAAGTGTGTGACTTTGGCTCAGATCATGATCTCACTGTTCGTGAGTTCTAGTCCCATATCAGCTCAGGGCCTGAATCCTGCTTCAGATTCTGTGTCTCCTTCTCTCTCTGACATTCCCTCATTACTGCTCTGTCTGTCTTTTGAAAATAATAAACATCAAAAAATTTTAAAAAATAAATAAATGTAAATAAATATACATCATGTTCCTATCTACTCTGATTTTTAGTTGATTTGATTGAAAATAAAACCATTATGGCAGGTTTGGTTGTTAGACTATTTGTTATTATTATTATCCTTATTATATTATTTTATTACATAGTGCTTGAAAGTTTTTTTTTATTCCTTGGGATCTAAGTGTTTTTCAGTATTTCTTTTGAAATAATTTCAAATGTACATAAAAGTGGCAAGAAAAGTGAAAACCATCCTCATAACGCCCTCACCCAGATGACCAATTGTTAGCATTTTACTACATCTACACATGCCATACATAAAACTCATTGAAATGAGTCTCAACAGTGTCTCTTTTTCCCCTTCTGGCCAGGATCAAACTTTGCTTATGTGGAGATGCACAAAGGGAAAAGGCTTCGGAGATACTGCATTCTATAATATATGAGCAAACTGATCAGTGTGGGCTCCTTTATTTTGGTATAATTGGATTCTCCAATGATTCGCAATTTTTGCCAAGTAGCTGTGCGAAAGTGTAAGCTAATTAATTTGCCTGACCTGAGGGTTGTACTTGGTTCTACAACCATGCTGCTCCCACTTGACTAAACATAGCCTCACTGTTCTATTACCATAGTGACTATCGTTATTCAAATTCTGATCAGCATTCTCTGGAACCTTTGTGATATGTCACTAGGCTCCCATGCCACATCAGTCAAGACAACCTTCTCCTGAAGTAACTACTGTGGGACCTTGTGAACCAGCAGTCACCGGCAGGTCAGTGTGGCTTTGCCCCATACTGAGTTTAATGGATTAAATTTTCTGTGCAGCAGATAGATAGGAGCAGAGAGAGTAACATAATGGCATTTGAATTAAAATTCATTAACCTTGCAAAATCACTTACTATCACTAGTAGATAAAGATGGTGGTAACTACTAAGCCTTAAATATTCATCAAGTTGCTAAGATTTACTTCTTCATAAATTTGTGCTTCTCCCAACTTGGAAGTTAGTGTACCGGAAGTTGGTATGTAAAGTAATGTTAGAATATTTTTAAGGAGTAAATAGAGCATTGGACTTTGGCATTTATTAATGTTAATCATTTAGGAAATTATTCCAATTGCTAAGGAATCCTCAAATTTCCTCATGGACTTGATTTGCGTCTTTAACATATTGAGATGTCCATGGGTAAAGCATTTATGTATATGAAAAGAAATGAGAGAAATTGACAGATTGGCTTGTAGAAGCAGTGTCACAGACTGATAATGTTGAAAGAGACTTTAATTCTTACAGAAGACTATTATTCCATTCAAATAAGGTGTGGTTTTCTGAAAGGCAAAAGACTCTTGAATACGCTGATTTCTCTCTCTTCCTTCAGTTAGAGACAGAGACGTGATTTCTTCCTAAGCTTATTTAATTATCTCTTCTTATTCTTTTGTTCTTACCTTACTTCTCCTCTGATGCTTTTGTTTCTCCAGTTACTTAAAAGAAGCATATAGTCTCCAATATTCTATCTTTCTCCTTAGGTAGTTTTAACCAATATCTGTGATCAAAGATCTGTGCCCATCTTTTCCTAGAGGCTAAATAATAGGTCTTGTAGTATGTAATTTTTTTTTTTTTTTTTTTGGCCTGGCTAGTGGTCACTGTGGAAGAAAAAAGTAAAACTAAATTTAATGGTCTTACTAAATGTCTAGAAGAGGAACTGGTAAATATGCCTGAATTTTAACAACTCAATTGGCTTTCTTATAAACTGTCAAATGCTTCAGATGCCCAAGGAAGGGCAAAGGAAAAGAAGGAAAAGAAAAGAAAAGTAGGTGAATGACACATCTGTATGCAAACATCAATCTTCTGCTACTTACCACAGTGATTTTTTTTTTTTTTTTTTTTTGGTTGCTATGGTGGGAGAAGATAGTATAATATGACCTACGGAGAAGCCAGTGTATTTTCATTAGTTTTGACTTGAAAGATCTTCAGTAAGTACATCAATACACCATGGGAGTGTTGGTTCACAAGCATAGGAAGTCCCCAGGTGAAATCTGAAACTGGCCTATGAACAGAAGGCAAGGAGAGACTGAAGAAAGAGGCAGGTCACTCCATATTGTTAGGGAGCGGGTTTAATAAGCAAGGGAATGTACAGATGGCCCTTGTCTTCTGTTGCCTAAAAACAAATAGACCTCTGAGCCCCCCTGCCAGAATCCTAAATGCTTATCTAGAGGTCTTACCTGGGGTCAGACCTTCCTGATGGTCTGACAACACATTGCTCTGTGAAGCCTACATATTTGAAAATGCTTCCCACTGGAGGAAGTGTGGACAGAATATACTTTCCAAGGATAAGGGATGCAGTGAAGTCTGATTGCCCAATTCCAGCTCACTAGTTGACAGGTGGTGACATTTTCTTGATGACTTCCTCTAATAGGAGAGAAAAAAATTTCAAGTGGATTTCATAGACTGCATTATGCCCATGCATAATGATATAGAAAAGTAATTATCCTGACTCAGGATATAACTTCACAAAGAAAAGAAATTTTAAGATTTTCGTTTATTCAGCTGTTGAGTACTATTAAGAAGAGGTGGCAGAACAGAGAAATAATAATAGTAGTGGCAGTAGTTACAACCAATTACAAAACTTCTGCTGAGTGTCAGACATCGTCCTTGGTGATTTTCCTACATGATCTCATGTAATTCTTAAAAGAAAGTTGTTATTAGCTCTGTTTCCTATGAAGCAGCAAAGGCTTCCAGAGAAGCCTTTTTTCAGTTTAATTTCAAATACATAAGAAGGCTAAAATTTAAATATAGGACTTTTTAGTCTAAAGCCCTTATTTGATCTTGTGCATAAATTGAATCTCTCTTATTTGCCACGGACTTTCCTGTGCCTTGGGAATAAGGGTCTGTGATAGAATTCTACTACATTCAGAGTGTTAGTCATCATAGAGAAGAAAAGTTATCAGCTGGATCTTGAAAATGACTAAGGATTTTACCAGTAAACAAAGTCATCAAAAGTGCATAGGGATGAGAAGGAGGAAGAATATGTTTTCTGGAAATCTACAACTTTTAAAAAGTTTCAGATTTACTAAGGGGAAACACTAAGACAAGTTTTGTGTGACAAGATCCTAGAATACACACCGGGGGTTTGAGAGTTTGCAGCAAATAGACTGAGATACATAGCAGAGATTAGCAAGATAATAAAAAAAGCCAAGGATGTAAGATCTTCAAAAAGAAAGTGATAGCAGATACTCAAATACTGCAAAGAGACTGGGGTGGTTGAGAAATCAAAGTGGATGTTGTACTCAGTAAATAGGTTATTGATTATCTTTGAAATGTGATTTTATTGCAGTGGGACAGAGAGAGATTGGATATGGAGGAGGGACTCTTTGGTAAAAAAGAAAGTGCAGCAAACATAAAAATCTCCAAAATGTTAGTGGCTTTTAAACAAGTGCTACTTCTGCAATGCTTCCAAATAATTTATTCTATGACCTTTATCACATTTCAAAGTTAAGATTTCTCAGTAGATTGAATTTTCTTAAATAAATTTCCCTAATGTAGGGATGTCACACTATTTGACCTTTTAATATCTGATGAAATACCTACTACCGCTTTTGGACTGATTGTGTTCTTTTAATCCTCACAGGTATTACAATTGTACCATTTTGAACTAAACGGTGAACTTGTGATAGCCATATTTTCTCCAACCACATCGGTTCCTCCCAATGTGTATGGGCGATTTGGAAACAATGACTCCTAGAGAGAGAATGGAAGTGTAACAGAAAGAGAACCATGACTCAGAAATCACTGTGCTGAAGCTGAAGCCAAAGTAGAATTTGGATCAGACGCTTCATAGAAACCAGGTGGATGATCACACCTTTGCTTTGTGTCGTGGGTGTGAGCCATAAAAACACATTTGTAAACATTTGTCCTTTACAAGTTCTGTCTGAGAAACTATACATGTTGATATCCTCAAGGCTGCAAAGCATTTCATCAATAGAATGAAGTGACAGTTCTGGGTTCACTCATTGTATGCAGCTTCGTTACCCAAACCTGTGGGTGGAAAGACAAATTCAACATTTTCCGGTCAGAATTCAGTTTTCTCTGTAACTATCTCATTGGGGTTTTTTTTTGTTTTTGATAGCTCTGGAGCAAATATACACATATCACAGATGTACGTGTGTGTATTCATGTATTTATATATTCACATGCACATGTGTATTCGTTCTCATTCCCCCAATATCACTCTCTGGTCAGAAGGTGTGTACAAGAATCTTCACATTGGCGCTATTTGTAATTATTCAAACTAAAAAAAAATTCAGATATCCAATTCATCAGTAATAGAATGACTTGATAACACTAGAATGACAAATATATTCATGCAATTTAATAATATTGCATGACAGGGGTGCCTGGGTGGCTTATTTGGTTACGCATCGACTTTGGCTTAGGTCATGATCTCGCAGTCTGTGAGTTTGAGCTGCAAGGCTCTGTGCTGACAGCTTAGTGCCTGGAGCCTGCTTCTGATTCTGTCTCTCTCACTCTCTCTCTCTCTGCCCCTCCCCCACTCATGCTGGTTCTCATTTTCAAAAATAAATAAATGAATAAATGTTTAAAAAATAATAATATTGCATAATAATACATCTGCTTCTATATGGAAAATTTTGATGACTCTTACAAATATTATTTTGACTAAAATAAGCCAGATACTAAAAAATAAATACTGCATCATTCTATTTACATAAAATTCAAAGACAGACAAAACTAATCTATGCTGTTAGAATAAATTCAGAGATTTAAAAATATATATAAGGATAGAGATTAGCATTTGGGAGGGGGCATAAACAAAGCTTCTTGGTTACTATTAATATTGTATTAGTCATCTTGGAAATAATTACGTGTGTATGCTTATTTTGTAATCAGTTGTCACTTAATGTACACTTAAATCTATGCACTTTCCTGCATAGTAATTTTAGTTTTAAAAAATAAAGCACTTTATTTTAAATAAAGCACTTGTAAAAAAAAAAGACACAGGCCACTCTTTCTTCTCTCTCTCACTCTTTCCTGTCATCAAAATGTTACTGCAATGACTGGAAATAGAGCAGTCCTCTTAGAAGACAGATATGCTAACTACCATACCAACAACACAGGCTCACGCATCTAACCTGGACCCTCTTGGGAAGTATTAAGTTTCAAATAGCAGCTAGAATGTGTGGAGATGCATAAACAGCCTAACACAGATTTGTATTCTGTGTGAGAGAGATGATCTTCTCTCTTATTAAAAATAAAAAATATATTCACCTATAAGTGGAACAGTTTTGCCATCGAAAGCTAGCCAATATTTTGTAAGTAGTTCATGATTTGATATAGTTTCGATCTTGAAGACACTGAAGTTTTTTGTGTCCACAGATTTGAGGATAACACATAAGTCCTACCTAAGTCCAGACTGATATTTTCTTTCAGCACAGGAGAGATGTATTAATTCTATTTTTTCCCATTGCATGTTGGTACGATCTCTAAATTCATCCCCTTGAATTTAGAATTGGTTTTTCCAGGTTTAATTTGCATCCAGTTAACTTGTGATGCATTTAGGCCACTCCTACTCCCTTTGTTTTCTAGACCTGAGCACTCATGGGATAGACAGAAATAAATGGATTAAAATAATGATATTAAATTTTATTTAAATGACTAAAACATATCTTTTTATGACAGTAAAAACAGACAGACTGTTCTCTTAATCTTGAAAAACATATTTCTAGAAGTTCAACAGCTTCTACTATATACAGTGCTTATGGATTGAATGACTGTGTTCCCCCTGAATTTATATGTTGAATCCTGTGTTTCTCCTTTTCTGCTCATACAGAATCCTTTGACACTTCTAGTCACCAGATATGTAGGGTTTTTTTTTCCACACCAAGCAATTCTCTGTGACACCAGCTAGGTGTCCTATAGTTTAACTCAATTCTGATACTATCTAACTGAAGATAGCATCAGATCCCACAGAGTAAATGCTCAGTCCTACAAAACTATCCCCCTCACCACCACCACCACCACCACCACCACCACCAACACTACTTCAAATGGTCAAAAGACACTCATTAGAACAAAACAGCCTATTACCTGGGAAATTCCAAGGTTTTTAGGAACACTGTGTCAAGAACTGGGGCCAAAGATCAAATATTAGAACAAAAGATGCTCTAGTATTCATATCATTGAGGAGATTACAGGGGTTTTAGAAGCTCTGTGCCAGGAGTTGGGGGAAGAGCAAATATATATATATTTCGATGATCTCACAAAGCCATAAGTCCCAGTGTGGTGGTACTTGGAGATGGGCCTTTGGGAGGTGATTAGATGAGATGATGAGGATGGGACCCACATAATGGGATTGGTGCCCTTATAAGAAGTGACATCAGAGAGCTCTCCCTCTGTCTTTCTCCCTCTCTCCTCCCCTCACCCCTTTTTCTTTTCCTGAAATCACACAAAAAAGGTCGTATGAACACATGGTGATGTAGCCACTGCCTACGAGCTGAGAGAAGAGGCCCCAGAATGAAATCCATCCCAGTGGCACCATGATTTTCAACTGCCAGAACTGTGAGTAATCAATTTATTTTGTTTAAGCTGTGGTCTATGGTACTTTGTTATAGCAGCTCAAAAAAAACTAAGATAGTGCCTTTGCTTTAAGTAGTCTCTAATAAATGGAAGACAGATACTTGTTAACATTTTTTATATTTCCAAAATAGTCATGTGTATCACGTAGGGTTTAGTCAGAAAAAGTGGTCAGTTTAGATATTATGAGAATAGAGCATGTGTCTAGAAATCTTGTCTTTACATAAATGCAGAAGAAACTGGGGAAAAGAAGATCATCAAGGAAAATGAGAGAAATACAACAACTGATGATTAATTCAGACATTTCCTTATTTATTGGTCTTGTTTTGGACTTAATGGCCAATATTTCTGGAAATCATCTGGAGCAGAGAAAGTTGAAGCCATTAGTGCTATTTGTGGTCTCTAATAACACTGAATGATGTTTTGGCCTCTCTTAAGATTATGTATCAGCATTTTTCATTATTATGACTTTGAAATAATAAATCCAAGCTAGGTATTTTGACTTCCCTTTGGCATTCAATAACTTTTAATTCTCTGCAAGTGAATTATCGTATCAGACAGAAATCAAATTCTGAAAGTTTGATAGAAATGTTTAGTGTTGTAATTCATGTGGCAAAAATAATTAAAGCAGTTAAACTACAAACTCAGATTTGAATGTTATACTTTAATTTTACTTTTTAATTTTTATTTTAAAACATTTTTAAAATGGTTTATTTATTTCTGAGAGAGAGAGAGAGGCAGCGTTAGCAGGGGATGGTCAGAGAGAGAGGGAGTCACAGACTGAAACAGGCTCCAGGCTCTGAGCTAGCTGTCAGCACAGAGCCTGACGTGGGGCTTGAACCGACGAACCATGAGATCATGACCTGAGCCGAAGTCGGACGCTTAACCGACTGAGCCACACAGGCGCCCTTATATTTTAATTTTAAAAATTGCTCTTCACTTGTTAAAGTATATAATATGGTCACAACCTGATGTTTAAATAGTTTATATCCTTATTTTTTAAATAAAATATCTGTCTCATTAAAGATTTTTTAGAAGAAGTTGACTTGAAATTTTATCTTTTTCCAGTCCAATCAGTGACAGGAAAGTTAAAATAGACAAAGGTTCAGTAACTTTTCCATTTTCCACATACATACATAGATGAGAAAGAGGAAACAAAGATGATGTATGTTTTGTCATGTTCATTCAGATAGCAACAGACTTCACTTTTAACTTTTAATAGAAATAATTCCTTGGTGTTGCTATTTTTTTCCTCTCAAGGAAGAGATAATATGCAAAGACAAGAAGTTAACCACATTTCAGGAGAATAGAAAGTCTGTTGGTGGAATCATATAAGGTAACAGTTTTTCTAATTAAATATTAGGATGTGGTTGTCACAAAAATGTTAGGGAAGATAAAGTAAAATGAACCCTCAGTAATGTTTCCTCAGAGTTAGATTCTAGAAGGGCCACGTTAAGGGACAAGGTTCCCAATCATGTCTTTGTCATTGTTCATGTTCTCTGCCTGAATTTTTCTATAGTATTCTCAGAACGAGACCAGCCAAAGATAGAATGATATGTAAGTAACTTGAGGCAATAACTATTGTTTTGAATTTCAGTGACATATTTTATTTCAAATATATTAAGTTTGGATGAATATAATCCTATTTACCTAAAAGATATTAGGAGAATTAAATGAAATAATACCTGAGAAATGGTTTAATCACTATAAACTCTTTCAGGGGTATTATACCCTTTTATGGGCAGTTTTTATTTTCAAGAAGAGTCACATAGTTTATAGTGGTTAAAAGAGAAATACATAAAATTCCAGAAATGTTATTTCACATTCAAGAGTAAAAGAAAATGTAAGACTCAATAAAATCCCTCCATCAGAGATGCCTGGTTTATTTGGGGGGAAACAATTTTTCAGATATTTATTATTTGCAAAGAGGCACAGAGAAACATTTCTAGTTTTATACACTTAACATTTCTTTTTAAAAGGAAATTTCAAATGACATCAAAATATGAAAGATAGTCCCCTTGGGAGAGAGGCGGCTGAATGACTAAAGATGAAGATTTCTTAGAGGAAACCCAGAAGAACTCTTTCCACTGTCAAACCTCCTCACTTTCTTTAATTAAATAAGTGAATCGAAAAACGGGAGAAAGGATCTGTGAAATTTTCTCTGGAGACATCTTATGTTGAACACTTAGATACCAGAACCCTACGTTAAAATAATGTTCAAAACTGGGAATATTGGGCTAGTGTGCTCACAGTATTTAGTCAGTTGGTATTTTTAAGTGAATTGGAACTAAAAGTAATCAAATAACACAGCTGAAAGGCAACATTTTGAAACATACACTGTAAAAAAACACAATACATGTATATTATAAACATACCCATGTATGTATATTATACACATTTAAAAAATAAAAGTTGTTAATGTGGTTTCTAGAGCAGCATTGTAGATAATTACACAACATACTAATGTAAGTCTCCAAAGAGAATCGCTGGATGCAAGAGAAGTCAATAATTTGGAAGGATAAAATATTAGAATTTTCATATGTATTTTCTGCTTAAAAGATAAATTGGAAGCACTAAACTTTACTAATATTCAGCATAGGGACTGACATTGTCAGTGTCATTCAATAGAGGTGTAAATGGTCACATAGCCTATATTTAGAGAGGGTCCCCGAAGAATAAATGGGGAAACTAGTATACAAGGTGTTATAATTGACACCCTCACACGTTAATTAGCTTCCTGAATACTGCAACGCATTTCAGTTTCGGCACTACAGAATAGAACAGATGTGCTTTTATTTTATTTTTTTCAAGTATAAGGCTTTTGTAGAAGAGAGGCTTTAAAATGCAATGTAAAAAAGATGAAGCATAAGAATAAAAATGTTTTATTTTACGTAGAGCTTCACTAATTATCCTATGACAGAAAATTTAACATCAAAAAACTGAACAATTTTTGAAAAGTATTGTAAAACAGAAAATTTTTAAAAATTTTTCTAAAAAGGTTAATATCTAAAATATATAAGGAATTGATACAACTTAATAGCAAAACAAACAAGCCATTGTATTAAAAAGTGGGCAAAGGACTGAAATAGATATTTTTCCAAAGAAAACATAGAAATGTCAACAAGTATATGAAAAGGTGCTAAACATCACCAATCAGAAGGGGAATGCAAATCAAAACCAGTAAATGTCCCTTCACACATGTTAGAATGGGCTTTATTTAAAAAGGTAAGACATAAAAAGTGTTGGTGAGGATGTTTGGTAAAGGAAACATTTGTGCACTTTTTGTTGGAAGAATAGAAATTGGTACAACTGTTAGGAAAACAACATGGAGCTTCCTACAAATACTAGAAATAGAACTACTATGTGTTCCAGTAGTTATGCATGTGAAGAAAAGGAAATTACTGTCTCAAGAGCTATCTGCACTCTTATGTTCATTGCAACATTATTTAAAAGAGCCAACACATGGAAACAACCCAAATCTTCATCCACAGATGAAAGGGATAAAGAAAATGTAATATATTATTAGTCATAATAAAGAAGGGAATCCTACTGTTTATGACAACATAGAAGGACATTATCCTAAGTGAAATTGCCAGACAGACAAAGACAAATACTGCATAATCTCACATGTGGAATCTAAGGAAGTCAAACTCATTGAACAGAAAGTAGATTGGTTGCCAGGGCCTGGGTGCTGGGGAAAATGAGAAGATACTGGTCAAAAGATTCAAACTTCCATTTATAAGACAAATAAAATCTTGGAATCTAATGTACAGCATGGTGATTATAGTTGATAATACTGTGTACTAATTTGAAATTTGCTAAAAGAGTAGATATTAAGTATTCTCACCCTAAATAAAAGGTAACTTTGGGAAGTGATGGATGTGTTACCTAACCTTATTGTGGTAATTATTTCCACATTATATAGTATAATAAATCATCATATTGTATACCTTAAACTTACACAATGGTATATGTCAATATAATTAACTAGATAAATACATAAAGCCCCATAAAACTGGGAAAATACACTTAAAAATAAGATCACTTATGTGAAAGGTAAGAAAAGTAACATCTCAGGAATTTTATCTTCATTTAATTTTACCATTGCTATAGTGGGAATAAAGCCTTCACTGAGAGCCAGAAGCTTCTCTTACAAAAAGCCTTAAAGAAGAAAATGTAAAAGTACTGATGAAGAATATGGTACATTTCAACTTTCTTTAATGTTGTACAGAAATTTGTATATTATATTTTATAGATTGTTATGCATATCTGTGGGCTAGATTTGGAAATATTAAGATTTTCAAATGTCCATATTAGTCAAAAATAATCTTCTTTTTTAATGCCTGCTAGAGAGAAGTGAATGAATTGATCTTTGGGATCATTACTACAGAGAATTGAATGATTTTTCACTGGCTTTTGTACATTGTTATTAACTTTTGTAAGCATTTAAGGAAGATAAAGTATTTCTATGTTACTGTTCTTAACTCTTATTTTTTTTTCCCCTCTCATCCTTGGCTAAGGTATTTCTAGTGAGTATCACTGAATAAAATATTACTCTGGATAAAGAAAAACAGTGATAGGTAATGGAACAATACTTGTTTCCCCTTTACTCATTAGTATTCTTGACCCTTGGCATCAGCAAACTTATTTTATGCTGTTATGTTTAAAGATGCATCTAAGTGACAGAGACTCCATTTAAAAAATGAGGTTAAGAATTGTTCATTTGAATGTTATTACATAAAAATCATCTGTTTTTAGGAGAATCTGGGTGGCTCAGTCAGTTAAGTGCCCAAGTCTTGATTTCAGTTCCAGTCATGATCTCATGGTTCATGAAATCGAGCCCCATGTTAGCTCCATGCTGACTGTGTGGAGCCTGCTTGGGATTCTCTCTCTCTGTCTCTGTTGCTCTCTTTCTTGCCCTCTCCCCTGCTCGTGCTCTTTCTCTCTCTCTTTCAAAATAAGTAAACTTTTTTTTAAAAAGAAGTCATCAGTTTTTAGTTAGGCAAAGTTGTACATATATAATATTCCTACTAAATTGTTACTCATAAAAATAAATGGAATAGAAGTTTGTGCCTAGGAATTTCATGAATATTTATATGTAGTTTTACAAAAGAATTTTAATACATTTGAAGAAAAAGACTATTATGTTTTTATTCTTTCGTATCTGTTTTGTATAGGACTATTTTGGTAAAATAATATTTTCTTTGCCATATGTCAGGTTATAGCAAAGGTAGAGCAGATTATGATGAATACATTTGCAAGCAGAATGGTAACCCCTAACCATAATTTTTTTTAAAAAATCTCTAAGAATTTCCACTAATATTAAAGCAAATCAAACAATATACCACCCTTTCTGCCCCTGTGGTTCTTATATGTAATAAATAATGCAGAAATATTTTAGACAGTTCAAATACTTCTGTAAAGCTACTTCAAATCTTATATCTTGGAGATGCCTGCATGGTACAGTCAGTTCAGGTGTTGATGGTGTCAAACCCACTTGGGATTCTGTCTCTCCTTCTCTCTGCCCCTCTTAGCTTGTGCTCTCTCTCAAAATTAATAAATTTTAAACTATCCTATTTCTTTAATTAATACAAGTGTTAAAAATATATATACATTCTATATGAGATATATGTTATTTAATATACTTTTGTTCTTTCTGATTGATGCAACTAGTTAAAAATGACAAAAATTGGTATGATGAAATGCAAGAAATGCAAAGAAATATGAAACATTCTAAATAAATCAATGTACATTTCAAGATACACTATTTTGAGATTTAATAAATGTCATGTAAACACTTATTTGCTTGTACTTTTCAACACTCAACAAAATTATACTGCATTAATATTCTTAAAATAATAAAATATGCTATTTATTTACATGGTATGTAATAGACTCAAGGATAGTTTGTCATGTTTGATCCACTTATCATTAAGTTTTTTATTGATCTACTAGAAAGATATTACTCATCATTTACATACAAAGGAACCAATGTTCAGAGAACCTCAAGGCCATGCTATAACTACTATGTGGTGACATTAGCAGTGAAAGCTATGCTTTCTGATAACCCTGATTACTTTCCCAATGTCACATATATTTTATAACATATTTACCAATTCATTATTTCTATATTAGCCATCTGGAAATATGTTTAAAAAATTGGAGATGGTCCCATATAGTGAATTAGAGAGTAAGTTTTAGGATCCAACAGATGTCTTCAGATTTCCCTCAATCATGTCTGCTAGATGATCCAGCACATGTTGCATGACTGGGGATAAGAATGAGATACATCTGCAGTTATTTTTATTTCACTGCTCATCTATCCCAGGTGGCAAA